AAAATCGGCTTAATTTAATACAAGCTGATGTCTTTTTTCAGTCTTTTTTCCGACTGATCTAAATCAGTTCTTGCTTAGATCGGTTTTTCAAGCTGCTTTATTGACCCATGTCCTAAGACTATTATTAAAGCACTAATTGAAGCGAGATTGGAGTGTGAATTATTGGAATTATTCGAAAGGAAGTCTTTTATGATTTATCTCAGCTATGATGGGATGGGTGAAACGAAACGTTTTGGATAATACCGCCTTTGTTTTCCCTTTTTTTTTTTGAAATATTGGCCGTGGAGGATTACTCTGATAACAGCTAACCGTTTTTTGGCACAACTTTTGGTGGTCTCTGTTTTTTTCTAAACTTCCTTTGAAGGTGTTTTAGTCGTTTGGGCGTTCCGGCCCTGCTTTCATGCTAATTGAAATTAGTTTTACAGCTCAAGAAACTTTTGGGCGATAAACTGCATTTGCATAATGGCTGGGAGAATGTATTATGTGATTATATCGCTCATGAAGGAGCACTGGTGCGTAAGGCCGCCAGGAAGCTACTGTTGCTTATGTGTAACTCTGATGTGGTAAGTTTATCGGCTTATACAAATTACTAGAATTACTTTTTTTTTATGTAGATCATTTAGTCCAAATATCGGCTGCTGTTGTTTATTTTAGCATATATCCTAAATTTATTAAAGATTTTTTTTTCTGTAGATCAGTTAGTCCAAAAATCGACTACCGTTGTGTATTTTGGATGATACATTAAAATTTTTGAAAATTTTTGATTGACTTTCGAATGTTGCCTTAGACGTTTTTGCCTCCAGCCTTGAGCATCAGACGTGCTCCATCCATATTCGGAAGTAATAGTTCAGTTGTGCAATCAGTCCTGTCTGCTCTTGATGATGGAATTGGGTTCGTTACGCGCAGTAAAAAATTGGCCTCACATAACCATACGAGATATGGGTGTGGAATTTTTATGTTACAGGGAGTGCTTACATATGTCAGGTTTTGCCAAGTCTTTTCGTCCTGCATCAAAGATCGTCAGTGAGTAGAAAATAAAAATAGTTTTTCCACGTACCTGTAATATTTTCGTATTTTTTGGAGCATGTATATGTTAAAAGAAATGTGAATGATTTGTCCAAAATTCACAGTCAGTTGTCAGAAAACCGTCATAACTATGAGTGAAGCATCGCCGGTGTGTTTGGCCCTCCTTATCAAGCAACCTTAGTTTGTTTTTTTTTTTTTTGTTTATTACTTTTATCAAATTTGCAGGCAAAATATCGGCAAATCCGTGACGAACATCTTATCCGTGATTTGCTGGCGAATCTGAAGAGGCGCCTAGACGAACGCGCAAACTTGGAATATTTCGAACTGTGTGATATTGTAACGCGCATCAACGGCATCTCAGCAGTTTCTGAAAAGCGTTGTGTTGTCTGGCAGAGAGTTTGCTTGAATGAAGTAAGCTTTTTTTACTGTCGTTTGGGCTTTTGAGGACAGTTTGGTTTTTCATACCATTACAAAATGAAATACATTCAAAAAGCTTTAATAATGAAACTTTTTATACTAATTTTGCTAGTCAAACGCTGAAGTCCTATTTCGCTGCACTGAATCCTATTTCTCCACAAATTTAAGCTGACCGTTACAAAAT